CTGTGTGTGTGTGTCTGTGTGTGTGTGTGTGTGTGTATGTCTGTGTGTGTGTGTGTGTGTGTGTATGTCTGTGTGTGTGTGTGTGTGTGTGTATGTCTGTGTGTGTGTGTGTGTATGTCTGTGTGTGTGTGTGTGTGTGTATGTCTGTGTGTGTGTGTGTGTGTGTGTGTGTGTGTGTGTGGTGTGTGTGTGTGTGTGTGTGTGTGTGTGTGTGTGTGTGTGTGTGTGTGTGGTGTGTGTGTGTATTACAGATTATACTATATATGCACACAAACAGACACATATATCAGAACGTTTGAGTGTGTGATTGCATGTGTGATTGCATGTATGTATTAGTATGTTTGTGAATGTTCTACAGATTGTGTTCCATACCCCAACAATTGCATGTGAATAGGTGTATAAAAGCATCAGGGTGAGGGACTGATTTTTATTAGTGAAAGCTTTTTGTTTGTTTAAAGGCCTAAGTAGGGTCAGATATATTCCCCAAGCTTCTTTATTATGGTATGTACAGTATAAATTTACAAAATACAAAAATTTATAAGAAATTAGACATTGCCTTATCATATAATAGATGTCAAAATGTAAAAGTACTATTGAAATCATAATTACATATATTTGTCAAAGGGAAGAAACGAAAGTTATTTGGTTTTATGATTACCCACATTAAATTAGTCATTATTACCCAAGTCTCACAGAACTTTACTGTCAATACAGATTTTCATGCCAAAACTTCGTACATAATTTATTAATTTGAAATAAATAACGTGAGGTTACGATGTAGTACAGTAAGCTGTAGAAGAACATTTCTACATCAACAGCTTTGGATATATGCAAATTTTATCATAATCATTATACATATACATATACATTATATATATATATATATATATATATTATATATATATATATATATATATATATATATATATATATATATATATATATATATATATATATATAATATATATATATAAAAAAAATATATATATATATATATATATATACATATATATATATATATATAATATATATATATATATATATATATATATATATATATATATATATATATATATATATATGCATATATATAATGATGATAAAAAATTTGCATTTGCATAGTTTTATATTTGTTTCATCCTGAGTGACTGCGCTAATCACTAGCCAATGTTAGATCCCAAACAAACTGTTATATTGCTAACAATAATTGTTGTGAAAAATAAAAAAAATATAGGGGTTATACGAGTAAACAATATGAAAAAGTTGGATTCTGATATAATTAATAGAATCAATTAATAAAAGTAGACTTCTGTCTTTGAATATGTTAAATATAATAGAAATACATGAAAATGTTATGACACATGCCCTGTGTCAGCAACAAATGCTGCTCAGAGATCTCTAACACAGACAATATGACACCCACAGCAAAAGGGTTAAGAAAAAAATCTAGTGCCTTTTTTTGAATAACTGCTACCACTGGGGTTTGGATGAAAAGGTAACAATGCATGGCTTGAAAGCTTTTTCTATACAACAATTGTTCTCAATCATATCTAGTAAGATGAGAAAAGAAAAGAAAAGAAAAGAAAAAGGAAAGAAAGGATCAATATTTTACGCTACTAATAATAACAGGCCCTATCCATCTGATACAATTTCTGTATGAATGATGACAAAGTAAGAGTATTTGAGCATTTTACATACCTACACTGACTATTTCCAAAGTGCCCACAATGAGAAAGTAACCCACTAGTGATGGTATATTTTGAAGCTGAAAATAATGGTTCCCGGGAGGCTTCAAAATCAGTGCACGGGGCTGGCCCACAGCGGAATTAGAGCGATCCAGCATCGCACCAGCGGGACGCCTGGCAATTTTTATTTTTCTGGTGTCACATATGCATGACATCCATTGTAAATGGGTTAAGATGCTGGTATGATATAAAGAACAATTCATAAATGTTTACCGAAAGCGAGGCCAATATCATGACCGACCAATATCACAACAGGACTGTTCACTCATGAATAAATAATCCAACTGTAACAGAAAAAATCTCTATAGGCTGCATTTCTGTCTTATTACTGCTTAGGTGTAAAAAAAGAAAAGAAAAGGCAAAATGTATATACATTTGTAAAAGGCCATCTATATCATTCAATTCATTATAGTTACTTTCCAAAAGTAAAAGGAACAAGCTACAGTTTCCCCGAATCCATAACTCTTTAGTGTAAATAATATAATAATATAATAATAAAATAATAATAAATAATAAAAAAAAAAAAAAAAAAAAAATCAATAAATAAAAATAAATAACTAAATAAATATATAAAAATAAAACAACAGATAAATAAACATAAAAATAATAAATAAATAAAAACAAAGTCCAAAAGCGTACACAGATTTTAATTTTTTTTCTTTCTTTTCTAATAAAAGTCGAGAATTTTCAAAAGCAACATTAGCTGAAAATGCCACACACCATGCAATGTAGAGCATCATTATGATTGGAAATTC